TGGCCCGCGACCCGGGCGACTCGCGGCCGGCGGCAGGGCTGCAAACCAGACCCGGGGGGTTGGGGAGCTGCAAGGCCAAGGGACGAGAGAGCAGGGGACCAGGGGACCCAGGGCGCCGCAGACCAGAGCCAACCTTAGGAAAAAAACCGACCCCCCTCAACCCCTCCCCCCCAAAAAAATCCGACATATAAGCTTCTGCTCTCAAGTGGACACGGGAAGCACTGGACGCAAGAGTGAAACCTCCAACCCTAAAACTGCAAGCCTAAAACCGAAGCAGTCTTGCTGCTGCTAACTGCTGGGACCCCAGACAGTTTCGAGCTCACCGGGGAATGCCTGCAGCACTTCCGCCAGGGCTAGACAGAAGCCTTGTCCTGGCTGCGCACATGCTGTTTTGAACGGGACGCGGACGGGGACGGTTGTAGAGCTGCGGCTGTGCTTCATAGGTATCACAGGCCCGAAGAGAGAAGGCAGCCCTTGGCAAGCCAAGGGTTTCCGTTTTCTTCCTCCCTGGCATTTAGCATGCCCCAACTCATGGCCAGGCCACAAGAGAAACCACCGGAGTCCTGATGCCGGAATCCCGGAAGAGCTCAAGAGAACCCTTGCAGACTCTGAAGAGGTCTCTGAAGTTGGAGATGTCCCTTTGCTAGTTGGCCGGGCTGCTGCAGCATTGCCGTGAGGACTGCACCTCGGAGGGACCCAGAAAGGGCCTTGATTCTCTGCTTTGATGCAGCCGCTCTTCAACCAAGGGCCACCCCAGATTCGGGCGCTCCCTTCTTCCTCTGCACTTCCTCTTGTTGGCTAGTTTGAGAAGCGAGGCGGAAACGACCACCACGTGGCCCGTCCGAGAACTAAGGCAGCAAACACGCAGCTTCAACTCCACTGCCCTGTCGTCACCGGATACTGGCCCAAGCTTTGTCGGTAGAAGCGTGCGCTGCGTGGACGAGACTACGAATGGATAGACGCCGCGCGGTTCCCAGCACACCTCCTTTGCATCTGTTGCCGACTCAGATCCCCCTGCAGCCCATGTCTACGCGAATGAGTCGTACAGTTCTGCCGCCTCTGAGCATAAGCCTCTGTCGGCCACATGTAAGGGAGATGCGCTCCAAGACTTTATGCCGGGAGTGCTTCATGACATGATTCGTGAAAGCTTCAAAATGCGTCCCGGGCTTGGAGTTTGTGCTATCAGTTCGGCCTTGGCACTTGAGCTCTTTGCAAGCATAAACGAAGCCAGCATTTAAGAACCGCATGTTGCGACGATCATGGAGAAATCTATCCCGTGTCATGGCAGGGCATACATGGACCCTCAAACAAGTAGAAGCAGATTCCATGCAAAGTATGGCCAGATGTCGTGCGGCACACCCGCACAGTTCATTTTAGCAGGAAACTTCCTCCTTCGCTTTTGCCCGGGCCGGCATGTGAAAGAGGCTACAACCTGCTGCAAGAAATAAGACTGCTCGTGCCCCATGAGCACCCTCTAAGGCGACAGTTGTTGTAGCTGATGCTTGGAGCTCGGGATCTGGAGTTGCGTCTTGTCGCTGCACTCCCGGCAAGCTGAAAGATTCTTCGTTCGATTGGGCAGGTCCACAGCGACGCTCACTCGAAGTTGGACCTGGCACACGAGCTTCGGTGCAAGGTCGAATGTTCGCAAGTAAGCCTGCGATGTCTTCTGCCAAGCGGCGCGTCTTCCATTTTGACCACCTTCTTCTGCCACTTCTCTCTCCTAGCATGATAATGAGATGATTTGGTAACTGCCATGATATCAGAAATGCTACAAAGCCGGTCCCACACGTCAGCCAAGGATTTGACTGCGAAAGACTTGATCTGAAGAAATGGGGGAACCGGTGCCTGCCACGGCCACGCTTGTCCTCCAGAAGCAGGGCATCTCAATCTCATGATGGTTCTATCTACTACTTTTGGTCGCGGGGCGTCCGGGAATGGCAAGATGTACATCACTCATACAGGCAGGATCGGCGGCTGGACTCGATGCTCGGTGGATCTGCGGCTTCGGCGTTCGGCTTACGTCTAGAGTCTAGTGACTAGTGATCTTTTGGAATCCAAACAACGCAACCTCATTTGTTGCATTAACAGGGCGTGGAACCCCAGACATCTCTTGCACCTCAAGGACCAGCTCACCCCGCTTCCGCCGGGAGCTGAGGAGGCGCACGAAAGCCTGTGAGGGAGGCATTTTGGCTCTCCAAGAGACGGGGCCTGGGCTCAGGAGGTTCATGGAAAACGAACCTGTACAGATTGACCTGTCAGAAGACTCTAACCCGTCCCTTTCTTCAAAGACCGCGGCCCAAAGTCCAGAAGTCGTTTCTGAAGCCACCTCTCTCGAAGAAGGGAGGTTTCAGAGCCTTCATTTCGCATTACTGCCTTTCAACTTTGCAGCCCAGGCCTTCGGTTTACAATACGTTTCAAGGCTGAACTCCTAGAGCTTGCTCTCGCACATCGGGAAGCATCACCATGTGCAGTCCAGGCCGATAGGATGGCACTGCTTGCTGTTTGGACTGAAGGCCTTCCTGCACGTCGCGCTAAACTTTACTGACCCACAGTGACTGGCCACCCCTTGGCCCATGCAGGTCGAAACCCTTCCCACACGAGCACTTTGAAGCATTACAAGCTGTGGCTGCAGTGCGAAGGCTCACAGCAACAAAGGCTCTTCGTTTCGATGGGCTAGAGAAAAAGCCCCTCTCTCTCTCTCTCTCTCTCGCGTCCGCATGTGTAAAGATTCATCGCCAGGCATCTCGCATCGGAACCGAGTTCCGAAAGCCAGTACCGCACTCCCCCTCAACTAGCAAAGCACAAGTCTAAGAGATGCAAAAAACCCTCGGCTCAATGCGGAAGACAAGGCCTTGAGCCGGCCCAGGACATTTCCGTCCTGCTAGCACCGCTCTGTGCCGGGGCTTGGGTGATCTCGTAGTTCTGGATACTATAAACACTCGCAGCACTTCCTGAACTTTTCGAGGGTCATTCCAGAGCTCTCTTGTCCTGCGTTCCACTGGGGTCGAACTCCTCGAGCACTCGTGCGAGCACGTCAGGATCCTCATGGACTTCGCCACAGTTGCTGGCCGTACATTTCTGGAACTGTCTCTCCACAAGTGCAGACGCCCCTCACGCCTTCAAGCTCTCCAGGTAAGCCCCGGTTGCCAGGTCCAGATCCCAACGCGCCACAAACCTTTTCGGTTCTTGAGCTTCTGCGGACTGCCAGGGAGGGCTCCAGGTTCTGAAGCCAAGGGCGTTCGGCTACTACGGCTTCTGAAGGATTTTCTGTCTGTTGCAGATAGTTGGTGACAGCTCGAACCTGCCGAAGATCTGAAATCTAATGATAATCTTCGAGTGGTTCTAAGTTTATCTGCTGAAGTCCCTGACAGAGCTTGGTTGCATTCGTAGCACCTCCGTGACTCGCAAGCCAAGCCACTTCAAAATGGCGTCACGGGTGGCTCTGTCTGCACGCGGCTGCACGTCGTCATAATCATAACTGTAGTCATCGTAGCGATCATAACCACTCTTGCCGTAGTATTTGTCATAGCGGGACGAGCTGTCCCACCACCGAGCCTCGGTCAACGCCAGGAGGGCGCGCCGTCCCATCAAAGCGAACAAACGCAAGCCCACTTCGAGATGCGCACGTTGTCCGTCACCTGGGCCTCCTTAGATTTAGACTCCACTCTGAATATGCAGTTGCCACTCACACCAACTAGTCGAAGACAAGCTGCTATTTTCCAAAGAAAACTCCTGAGACGAGCAGATATGTTGCCTCAGCACTTTAATCAGGCGCTCTTTCATTGAAGGAAGAACCATAGAAATCTGCTGAGCTGCCATCTCGAGTTGTCCACGGGTCAAACGTTGTCAGGCAAAGGATCTGTCCCTCTTCTGGGAGCCGCTTCATGGTAAAGATACAATCCTCAGCTCAGCAAATCTCGAAAGCTGGTGCAGGAAACGCCCCCCCTTCCTTAACAGGTGAGCAGCATCTTCAAGCTCATAATGCTGCGCCCACTTCCTTCGCACGTAGCCAAGGAATCGTCCCGTGACGTTTCCGTCACGAGTGTTGCTTGCATCGAAACCCTGCAGCACCTGTCAAGACTGTTGCGCTCAGTACGGGTGCCAAATGCAGAGTTTGTGTAGATACCAAACATTGGAAAGGAGAGACGGCAACAAACGCGAAAAAACCGAGGTGTAGCGGCACCTGCCACCCTCCCTCCCTACCCCCCTTCTGGTTTTGCCGTAAAGGCATGATCTGTGCACCTGCTGCTGGCCAAGGGCTTCGGTAGGAAGGGGCGGGGCTGCGCCGAGCGCTTCTGCGCAGATTTCAACCTGGGCCTGGGCCCGAAGGCAACTCTCTCTGCTTTGCTTCTCTCTCTCTCTCTCTCTCTCTCTTTCTTTCTTTCGGCAGGGCTATGGACAGGAGGGGGGGACCCCTCTCTCTCTCTCTCTTCTCTCTTTCCCACCTCGACGAGCACCTCGTCGGGCAGCGCTTCGAGAACCTGCACAGCAGCGAAACATGGCACCCAAGTTCTGGAAACATGTGCTGCCATTCTGAATCGCTTGGGCGGGTGTACGTAGCAGAAGAGGATAACGAAACACAAAAACACACACACACACACCCACGCACCCACCCACCCACCCACCCACCCACCCACCCACCCATGCACCCACCCA